ATAAACCTGCTAACGAATCTATTAATCGGTCTCTCGATCGGCCTCTTTCGAGTTTAGCGGCACAATCGCGGCAACATAATCCTCGAGAATTCTCGAAAATATTCTTTTACGAAGACTTCTCTCTCTCTTTCTCTCTCTCTCTCTTTTTATGTTTTATACGCGCCGTATAAAATATTTTATCTCTCACGAGAGGTGTGAATATATACAGTGTGGTATTTTATTTTAATTAGACAGACTCGTTACGAGGATGTACAATGAAAAGTTCGTTAAAAATAACGTGTGAAATTTATTACATGTCGGACATCTCGAAAATCTTACGTTCGAATCGTTTCGACGATCGTTCCACGACACCGAAACCTCCGTACGTTAGTGTTTTTTTTTTACATACGCCCGTTGTTTGATCGCGCGAGAAAATTCCGTGTCGGGGAAAAATGACCGAAAGGATCGCGGACCGAATCGATCCGAATGACAAGAGAGGACACGCTTTGAATCGACGCTAACGAGATTTACGATTGGCTTAAATTTTAAGAGAAAGCGACTTTCGACTGGACGGAACCTTCGTCGGGTCGCGCGTAGAAAATGCCCGAGGGAATGCCCGGACGCATTAATCCGTTGTGCATTTATGTTTATTCTCAAAACGTTGGTATGTACACGCGCGTGAAGGATGAAAGAAAAAAGAAAAAAGGGATAACGCGCGCCACACGTGTCGACCGTGAGGCCGCGCGTGAAAATTTCTCACGGTGTTTTTCAACGCCACGGGAAACGCCGGTGTCGACAGAAGGACTTGTCGATTATTAACGATTAAGTAACGGTCGATGTCGAGATGCGATAAGGATAAGAACGCGGACCCGAGAACGAGGAACCATCCGAGGTGCGCAATTATTATTGTTACCAACGATAATTATGGTTACTCGTGATAATTGCACGAACGATTCTATACAAAGTCTGATTTAAATGAGCATCGATTATATCGATCGTAGGAAAAAAGGGAATGTAATTTTCTACATATATATATACGATTCGATTCAATTGTCTGTAAAAAAAAAAAAAAAAAAAAAAAAAAACAACACACCGTTATTCCCGAGTCGGTGGCGAACGGAGTAGTAGAGCTCGTTT